GAATCTTGAGAATATTTTGAAACTCGCATCCAGTGGGACTCTCTATATGCTAAGTCAGGCTCAGATGTTAGTGAAATGCTGTCTCACCACGTATCACCACCTTTTAAAGTAGCTTTAAAACACCGGTGCAGCCGATGCTAAATGCCTGTCTCTCCTGATGGCATTATGCCTTTGGAAGATGCAGATCTGAACCAAAGCTGCAGATCAATGTAAAAATGGACTTTGTACGTGTTAGCATTGTGCGTGCCACAGCAGAATGAACCAACAGTGAAGACCACCCTTGACTTGTGGCTGTTAGGGAGACACATAGTTTTGGTTATCATATGGAGACATCATCTCCTGACTTCTTATTTCATGAATACTCCCAAGCAGACCTTTTTGGTTTTTTCCTCCTGGAATCAAGCATTTTCAGCAATGAAACTGGCTTCAGCAGACAGTGTTTCTGCTTAGCAAGAAAATCCTGCTACCAAGACTTTACTTGTTCATGCTCCATTGCCTGGGAAGTTCAGGAAGCCTTGTGTTTCTGTGGCTCACTGCTGACAGGTATGACTATTGGTCCAAATTCTCCTAATCCCAGATAAACACTTGGAAAGGCTTGTAAGAATGTAGAACATGTGTAGAACACACAAGCATATGATGATATATGGCACATGCATAGTGGGCCGGTGTGTCTGGCTGCTCCCTTGACTCATGATGATAAGAGGAGCTGGGATCCAGAAGCTGACAGGTTCTGAGCTGTGATGAGTTATCAGAGGAAGTGAGAAGGCAGCAGCTGAACCCTGAGTAACACAACCTGACTGGCCCCTTCCTATGCTCCCCTTATGTCACTGGAGTGCTACAGAGGAGTCATAATGGCCTCTCAGATAATTCTTCTCATGCTTGAGACAATAGAGTGTGCATCTTCATATGATCTGTCTTCCCAGACTTTGCTGTGTGGTATTTCTGGGAGCAGAAAATTGCTTATGCCATATTGCTCAGCCCTCATTCTGGACTGCACCCCAGCTCAGTGCTAAGATGGAATAGCTATTTGCTTTTGTTTACAATGGGGACCACTTTTGCTCTCCTATTAGCCCAGAATATCTCAATTGGCCCAGATGATGCAAAACCAGCTACATCCTCCTATCCCTGGAGCTTGTCTTCTGTGCATCTGTGAGACACACAGAATATTAGATGCTCTAATTGTCTGTTTCAGTTGCCAGAATTTGAGATCCAGGATCCTGCTATTCAGCCTACATCCTATAAACAGTAGGAGATGGACTGAAGTGATTTAGAATGAACTGCTCATAAAACTTCTTAAGGAGAAACCTTTCTTCATAAGAAGGAAACCTTTCTTCAAGAAGGAAAACTTTTCATTGGAAACCTTTGGACAGGAGGCTTGTGCTTCCCAGCTGACAGAATTAGCTGGGAAACAACGTATCATGTACTAATTTAGATTATTACCGGGAATGAATCTCAATCCTGCTGTATTTTAGTTCTTTGCTGCATACAGAACCCCAAAGCACAGACTTGAACTTGTATTGGAGGTAACGGGTTTCTCTGCGTGCATCCGGGCTTGCTGCGGCTAGGTGGCAGCACTCCACTGGGCAACCAAGCCTCTGAATTCAGTACCAACCAACCATCCAGCTCACAGAAAAGCTAGCTTGCATATTCCGATTTATAGGAAAATAGAGGGTAAATAAAAGTCAACAAAGCCTCCAGAAGCCTTGTATCAGGACATCTGGGAAGCTATAAGTGAATTGCGCCGTTCTTTTGCAATGAAACCCAACCAAACCACACAAAAATCATCCTGGTTTGGACATCAAAAAGGGAAGAAAAGCAGAAAAAAATCTGTGATGATTTTCTCAAGGCCTCAGACTGCTCCTCCAGACAAGGCTCACAATGGCCACACTCACCTGGAACTGGAAAACTCTGGCAAGGGAGAACCAATAGTTCAACAAAGCTTTTGTCATTTTGGCTTAGTTTTGCCTCAAACATGATGAGATGACACTGTCTCTCACAAGTCAATTTTATGAGGATCTGTCAACCGAGTTCCCATCTGTTCTGGAAAATAAGCTTTTTCAGGTTAGGGTATGATGCAGAATCAAATCCACAAAGCACAGATTTAAATTTAAAGCACTGGAAGCCCCTTGCTATTGCCAGGTAGTTAGGGGAGGGTTTGAATTTGAGCTTCTATGTCAAGCTGGTTTCTGTTTCAAACCTTTTATTAGCACTTATCATTTATAAAAGACAAAGTGTATGCAGGAAAGAAGAAAATAGGGAAAAAGCAATACAGTGTATGAGACTGCAGTATATGCAGCACTGGGGAGATAGAGAAGGTAGAAAGATAAGTAGAGATTCATAATGTTGAAGGCATTCACTTACAGCTACAAAACACAAATAAACTCTGGTAAAAGAAAGGAAAGCACTCCCTAATACAGAAAATGAGCATCAGAGCGTTACAGTGGCACAATACAGGGAAAAGATTCTAAAGGCCATTTCTTACAGTGCTTAGAGTTGACCATTAGACCTTGGGAAGACTGGGCTACACATTCTGGTCCAAGTCTTTATGTGCATATTTAGATAAATAAACTGCCACTGCTACTCATAGAATCATAAAATACCAGATTGGAGTGGATCCCAAAGATCATCTGTTCCAAAGTTTACATAACTCTAAACCTCAGCATACAACACTTGGAATTGCACCCTCCACTACATGCTATTGAAAAGCAAATGTGCCTGACATTGAAGGAGACAGACCTGGGGCAACTTCAACAGCCACATACTGAGCTCTGGTCACCAGTGTCACAGCTTGCTGCTAGAGATGTCTGCTCAGAGCTGCCACCCCCTTCTGGGAGCTGAGCACTGAGCTTCACCTTACAGAGATCAAGAGACTGTGACAGCATTTGCACCAAGATTGCCAAGGTATTAACACTGATTTCTTTCAATAATGGTGATGTATTTATAGGCTTATTTCATCACCCTTCCCAGAATCCAAAATGCTCCACTAATGAAGAAATACCTGCTTCTGCCTGTGCTCTACCTCAGCTGATTGTGAAAAAAAGCAAAACTTGTCTCCTTAGGTACTGTTCACTGTTCTCATATTCAACTATTATATTCACAAAGAATAAAAAAGTTTTTCATTAATCAATTATTAGGTCAGGCATGATCTGTAACTTCACAGGCTGTGCTACACAGAAAAAGGATGCTTGTGATTTCTTTCCTCAGGTAACTTTCTCAGCTGTTTGCAGCAGGCATTTGACAGGAGGGAAGTGGTCTGGGTAGAGGGTCTGGGTAAAGCAATGCCTTCCCTCTGCCCTAGAAATTTCAGCCCAGATTTAGCAGAGCTGGGAAGAGTTAAAGACTATCACATCCTTTTTTTATTTTTTCATTTGCATTCCCCATAAAACGTTGGCAGTTTGCTGAAATCACTGAACATAACAAAGGCAAAGCCAGCCTCAGCTCTGCCAAAGCAGCAGCTGCAGGTGTTGGATAGAGGACACCTCTGAACTCTGAAAACGAGCTTGGGAAGAATGTGCATGTGTATGTAGGAGAGCCCATTCCCAGTCTTAGCATCGCATTCTCTCCTGAAGATACCATCTGAGTTTTTCCAGCTCACACTGCCCTCATAAACCCAAAGGTGAACACAGCATCAAGCAACCTCTTTGCTTCCAAGAGAAAGCAAAGGAAGCAATTTCCAGCATCGTTGAAGTGACTGATGTCTATGCTATGCTGGTGATAGCTTGAGGTTTCAAACCCCACTGTGGATGGAAGACTACTGTGACATTGAGTCTCACCACACACTGAAAAAACCCTGAGAAGGAACTGGAAACTACCCTGGTCTGCTCAAGGGTTTTCTGCAAAACTGTGATGTTAAGAGCAGCAGCATACCCTTTTGGGGCGGGGAGGGGTGGGGGGGGGGGGGGGGGGGGGCGGCTGGCTAGGGTTAACCCTATACTGCATATCAGCAACCATATCAGCTTGCTCTAAGCAACCCTTCACAGTGGGTTGAGGTCCTCTACAGATGCATCCTGACCCTTCAGCAACATCAGGTTGCCTCAGGAGAAATCTGTAAGGAAAAAGTGGACTAGATACCCCTGCCCCTTCCCCCAAAAATAACTGCTTGAAAATGTTAATAGAAGAGCAGTTGTTGTAGGTATCATACTTGTTACCTGACAAGAAAGATTCAAATAGTATCACATATCACTACCTTGGCCCCGTATTTTCCAGCCCATGTTCTGACAAGCTGACTGCATTAGCATTGTCCTTCATAACTGTTTTTTACAGCAGAACTCCCCGGGGTGGGGAGGTAATCTTCGAAGCTACCCATTCAAAATCTTGAAAAGTACTCACTGAGAAAGTGTGGGAAAGTCTGGAACAGGAGATAATGCTATAAAGCTGGCTTTCCGCTTTTTTCCATCCATATTTGTATCACTTTTTGCAGTTATGTAAAGCTCCCTGAATGCTGAAGAAAGTTTATCCATTCTTCCATGCTACTGGAAATATCCACCCGTATCTTCAAAAAGTTGTGAACCAGAAATAACCCACTGAACTGCAATCCAGATTGCAGCTTTAACCCCTGGCAAGGAAGAGATTAGGGTAAGAGAAGATGGGGGGGGCTGCATGCTCCTACAGCATACACTTTTTAAGTAGGTTTTTTCAAGCCAAATGGCAAACCTTTGCTAACATACACCATTCTCAGAATTTTGTAAGCTAAATGCCAAACTTTTGCTAATGTTACATAGCAAAAGTCCCTAGGAAATTCCAATTTATACTGCTAAAGAATATGGTAAAAGCCGATCTATTTAGAGAACTAATAAATCTCTCAGGAAGACATGTTTCTCCCCTTGAGCACACACTTTTTCTTTCATTTCCGCTGTGACATATTCCACAACCCACGCTACTGTTAAGTCAGATAAAAACTCCATGAAAACCAGACGATACAAAGCCGTGTGCATGTCTTGTGGATGCTCATTACTGACCCTGATCAAGACTGGTGCACTGCTCTCTGCATTTCTTTCTAAATGGAAACTGCTGACTTCTACTACGTTTATTACTTAGCTCAAGATTACCTGCAATATGTGCTTCAGGAGTCACATCTTGGACCAGCCCAAACCAGAGTTGCTCATGTCTTGCGAAACATTGCATCTTCACTGCAAGATCAAACCGAGGAGGCTCTCAGACCGTTCCTGGACAGAATTGACATTACGTCTGTAGCTGTTGCCAAGAGAATTTTCAATGGTGTCATGGAAGAAAAATTTGCTGATGGAAATACTAACTGGGGACGAATTATGACCATATTTACATTTGGAGGTCTTCTCACCAAGAAGCTTCAAGAGCATGGAGTTCAGCTCACTGGAGAGGAAAAGGAGCAGATTTCTTATTTCATCACAGAGTACATAATAAACAATAAAGCCGAATGGATAGATGCAAACGGTGGCTGGGTAGGTTTCTCATTTTCCATCAGAATCTGTATTAGGAGGTTTTGTTTCATTAAGTGAAACTATTGTTACAGACATCATCAAAACCATTTTAAGGTTTTATTTAGTGGCTTTAACATATGATGACTGGAATGTCTTCCTGAGACATACAGTGAAAGTTTTGCTTCTGCTTTAAACAGAACAATGCTAAAAGGCAACTTTCTTTTTAAAATGGCACTTTCTGTATCTGTTACAGCAAACTCCTAGTTAGCCTTGACTCATAGGATCATATGGTAACTCAGGTTGAAAGGGACCTTAGGAAATCATCTGATCCAGCCTCCTGCTCAAAGCAGGCTAATGCCTGCGTGGCATGAAAATTTCCATTACTAAATCTAAACTTAAATAAGTGGTACCCTAAGGTTAGTGCCGAAACTCTTCTTCCATAGAGGAGTTGGTCCAAAAATACTGGAGTTCAAGATAAGGGAAGAATACATGTGTGATCCTGAAAGGTGAACTCAGTACTTTTGTAAAGCCGTTATATAATCCCCCAATCAATTTTCCTTACACAAATTTAAAGGTAAGTGCAATCCAGGTTAAATCTTTTCTGTCTGGACTGAGATAATCCCACATCTTCCATCTACCAACAGTTAGTGCTGAGGAAAGCATTTGTCAATATGTGGATTATTTTGCCAAGCTGCTGAAATTCCCTTCTGGCAGTGGAGGGGAGGTCCCTTTTGCTTTGCTGAGTTTCATCATGCCAATATTTTGGTTTCATTTGAAGTTAGGGGAAGCTGAGAATCAGTGACATCATTTCTCAGTTATTTCCCTGGTACTTTTTTCCTTTCTCTATATGTAAATGTTACTTTCTCTTTCCACCCCCTCTCGTCCCACTTCTCTTTCAATTCCTATCTCTTACTACTTTTCCCCTCATTTATTTTCTAGTGTCTTGCTTTTCCTTTTTTCTTTTTGCTTGTTTTGACCCTTCTCTGTCTGGTAGCAGTAAAAAAAAAAAACGTGATAGTGGACCCCTGATGCATCAGATTTACTGTAAAGGCTTCTCTCTGCGTCTCTTTGAAATAGAGTCAATTTTATTTAAGAAAAGTATCAGCTCCTGGAAACTTTCCATAATATTCTACTGTCTCATCACAGTAGAATAAGGAGTCTTAAAGGAAGATACTTACTAGTATATTACATCAGAAACATAGTACTTGTATCTTCCTTGAAGATATGGGACTAGATGATGCAGTTCACATTCATTTTCTATTTACACAGGCAGGGCACAGTCTTGACTTGGAAATCAAACATTCAGCAAGGTGCAGCTATTTTCAGCTACTGTTTTTAAAGCCCTATTCATCTTTTGGAGGTAGAGCTCTGAAAACCTGTCCCTCTACGCAGAATGGTGTTGCACTCTGTGCACCTGATATCAGTAAAGTGGTGTGTTTTTCCTAGCTTAATGTTATTGTTAAGCTATCTCTAAGTCTGCATGTTCCTTTCCATAGGAAAATGGCTTCCTAACGAAGTTTGAAAGAAGATCACGACTGTCTTTCTCCAAAATAACAGCCATGTTCATAGCTGTTTTTACCTTGTTCAGAGAGTACTACTGAAACAAATGGACCTGCCAGTCATGTGTAATCTAGATATTGCCACAAGCTTCATTGCTAAGCTTTCCTCCAAGCAATATCAACATCATTTTCTGCCCTACTTTTTTTAACTTATTTGTATATATTTTGAATAAATACAATGTTTAACATACTATCCTAATTGCCAAACCTGAGGATGAGATCCTTCCAAAGAGGAATTGACACAGCATCATGAAGCAATTCAACTCAACCTTCCGAGGCAGGACTGCTTCGAAAGAGTGATCATTTTCCACATCCAGGCAGCTCTTGGAATCTGTGCTGCACCTCCATGAAAGGACATTGTTTTACTAAAGTACAATCCAATGGGTTAAGAAACAAGTTTTAATGTCATTTGCTTTGTAAATGAAATACTACTGTAATGCATTTTATTGCAACCTTTGTATAGGCAAAGGGGGGGGGAGAGATTCTGTGAGGAAAAAGGAAATGCAAATTCCAGTGTAAAAGTGGGTACAAGTTACTGACACAGACTAAGCAATTTTTATGGGAAGAACAATTTGTAGAAGTCAGCAACTTAAAAATGTGCACTAAATCTTAATGCAATGGTATATATTTCTTTGTTGTATTTTTTAATTGCTCATATCTACAGTCAATGTTCTTTCAAATCTGTGTAATGTAATCATCTGGCTGAACTTTTTTTAAACCAGGTGTTTTAAAATAGGCAAGTACAAGATATTTCTAAATGAGAAATTTATGTAAATACACTAATATTTTTGAAAAATACATTAAAATATGTATTTGAAAGTCTTATGATTGGTCTCATTTCTTCCAGAAAAATTGGAGGATGAGAAAAGATCTACCTGAGTAAGGTGACTCCTAGAAAATCTATCACAGTGCTACTAGAGAATCCAAGTAGTATATGGGTTTGACCTGAAATCCAAGGATGTCAAGACGTTAATTTTCTGTAGTACTTAAGTATTATCTCTGAGTTTGTATAAGAAAGATATTTACAGCAAAATAAATGAACTGGATCTGCTCTGATGACAGCAATTGTTTCTTTGGGGATTTGCTGCAACTCAGCAAATTCAGGAGCAGGACTTCCAGGCTTTTGTAGTCTGGAGCAACTACTGTTTTGACTCAAATTCCATTTGCTTTCAAAGGTTAAATAGCAGTTCTTCAAGAACTCGTGCTAGGAGGGTTTTCTTTAGCTGTAGTGACTCCTACATGAGGGAACTAAGGCTGGGTATAAACACCCTTTTGTAGACATGCTAGGAGATGAACCAAACTGAAGCAGTGGTTGCTTGTGGCACACAACAGCATTATTCTCTAAGACAAATCCTCTAGACAATCAAGGTTTTATGGTACCGGGAGAATGAAGCAGCCTCCTTCTGGTAATGGGTTATTCATCATTCATCCTTCTGGTAATGGATTCTCCATCATTCATCCTCCTGGCAATGGGTTCTCCATCTTTCATCTCGACATAAGAAATTTTGTACAGTAAGAACAATCATTTATGGAACAACCTCCTCAGGAATGTGGCAGCATCACCATCACTGTAGGCTTTCAAAATGGGACTGAATAAACATCTACATTAATCTAGGCTACCTTTCCCATGAAAGGTTGGAACAGACGATCTTTTAAGACCCCCTCAAACCTGAGCTGTTATGTGATTCTGTAGTCCAACTTTGTTTACGGTTTAACTACAGAACACAAAGAGATGTTAACATTTGACAAAACCTGTATTGCTCTCTCCCTCTCCCTTTTCCTTTCCCTCTTCCTTTTCCTGTCCCTCTCCCTCTCCCCATCCCTCTTCCTCTCCTTTTTCCTTCCCTTTTCCCTCTCCCTCTCCCTCCCCAGTGAAAACAAGAAAGATACTCAGCAGGACTCCTGAGAATTTCCCTGCTGTTGAAAAAAAGATGGCATCATCCTGACGGCAAGGGGCAGCTAAAGGAAAATGCCCACTTCCAGAATACCTATGGAAGTTCCTGTCAGGAACGACGTTTTAAAATATATTTTGACATATATTTAATTATTTGCAGTCTAAGTCTTTGTGATAAGAACAGCAATTCTTACTCAGTTCCTTTCTGTGCACTACTGTAAGCACACACTGTAGTGACTAACACCAGTCTATTAATACCACATTCACGTCCTTTTACACTAAGCTAGTATATTTTATACTGGGGAGTACAATTTTTTAATTAAATATAAAAGGCTAACCCAGCCTTTCTAAAATGCAGTTGATGCAATCATTTTAGAGCTTGCCTTCATGGTTAAGGCCTGGGTTTAAATCAAAGCAGCTCAATTTAAATCAAAATGGCCTGATGGGCTCCAGATTATCTTCATCAGAATAAGACCTCCATTTGCTCTGCATTTAAAGGCAGGAAAAGCAGTAATAAGAAATACTACCCAGATTCTAAACGTAACAGAAGGTCTGAAAAAAACACTGCTATTATCTAAGTCTTATAAAATAGTACAGATACACTGTGTTAACTGTCATTAAGTTATCTATACCAGGCACTGGGCAATGTCCCAGGTCCTGGGGCACCACTGCTTAAGTGATCCTTGCAGTGGTCAGGCAATACACTGCAAACAGAATGCTGTTTCTAGAGCAGAAGGTAAAGTCAAAGAGCCACAGAGTGGGTCAGCTGATGTCTTCATTAATGCTCACAGGAGCTAAATTCAGACGTCATCAAATGCCATGAAGAATAGTTTTATGAAAGCAACTGCTGCTCTAAAAACATCCCTTTCTGCACTTAAAATCGATCATTAAACATCCCAAGTATCAGCCTCCAGTGTCTCCCCCTGGACACAACTCCACAGGCACAGCACTTCATTCACACCACCGCCCTCATGGACGGGCCAATACCGTAGGGAAAAACGAAACCCGTTTGGTAGATGGTGGTAAAATATCCCACCAACACGTATTTCCCTTTTCACAGCAATATTCCGAAAGGGGAAGAGGTTTCGTAACGTTCACCAGACAAAACAATGACGAAAGGCCTCGCCAGGAGGCTGACCGGGCCAAGGTGGCCTACAACACCCCCAGGATCCACGGGACATTGCAGCCACCGAGGCCTCCCAGCAGCGGCCCTGCTCCGGCTGACACCCGGCCGAGGCAGCGGGCCGCCCCCGGGAGGGCGAGGCCGGCGCTTAGGCCGGGCTCCCTCGGCGTATGGAGCGGCCGGTGGAGGGCGGCGAGATGGCGGCGGCGCTGCGGGCCGCCAAGCGGGCGCTCCGCGGGGAGCTGCGGCAGCGGCTGCGGGCGCTGGGCGCGGCGGAGAAGCAGCGCCAGTCCCGCCTGCTCGCTCGCGAGGTGGGTGCGAGCGCGCCCGGCTTCCAGGAAGAGCGGCCCCGGGGGCGGAGGGGGAAGCGCCGAGGAGCGGGGCCCGGCCCCCGCGCAGCGCGGGGAACCCCGCGGGGACTTTCCAGGCGGCTCTAGGGAGCGAGGCGGTGACTCAGGGCTCCCGCCGAGCTCCTCGAGCGCTGCCCGGGCCTGTGCGGGGCGGGGAGCACCGCCTCGGCCCCGGCCCTGCTCCCTTCACCGCTCCTAATGAGCGCCGGGGACCGGGGCTGGTGGCTTTGGTGACAGCCATCACGGAGTGGAAGCATGGGGTTTGTAAAGCAGGAGGCGAGTTCTGCCATAAACCCCCCAGCAGCGGGGGGCGTGTGGGTTCCTGGGGGGTGTGTAACTTTGTGGGCAGCTCCTGGCAATACAGATTAATATTTAGCAACTATATCCATTTAAAACAACTATATCTTGTTTACCTGGCTGACGTTCCCGTTCTGTATCTTTCCGTGGTATTTCTTCCATGCAGTTTTATTTCTAACGTAATTCTTATACTTTAAAAGGTACCAAGCAGGGTTTACCTAATTGGAATCCTAGCACAGCGTGGTGTTGGCATGTTCTTTCAAAAAGCCCTGCTTGCTTTCGGATCACAAAGTTTTTATATAGATGTATTTTATCATTTTAATAAACACAATAAAATGTTGTTCTGCAGTCACTGCATGTCCTAGAGCACAGTCCTCATTTTTGCATTTTGCAGCACCAGCGGGTGTTTCTAGATGATCTACACTTGTATTGTTATTTTCCTGCCAGAGGATCACAAATCATTTTACAGACTTCACTTAATACTGATGTGTAGCCACTTAATGACTGGGATGTGGCTGCACAGAAACTTCAGGTCATAGGAAGCTTAACAGGAGTTCATGCAACCCTTTTTTATTGGGAATGCTTTTTTTTTTAATACATATATGTAACGTCCTATCATGTTTCTGCATTTTAGTAATTAAACATCCTAGACTAAAATCTCTCAATTTTTTGAGAAAATACTGGCATGCATCCTCTTCAAAACTGCAGTCCTCTGGCAACTTCATAAGCACCTAGCCCATGTAGTAGTACCAGGTTTTAGGAGCCCTTAGCCTTTAAGCTCAGCAACAGCACACGTTTCTGCTTGTGAGAGCACACTAAAAGACAGCTTTTGTTTTGCATAAAAGAAGGCACTGGAAAATACGACATATATATTGGTGTTATTTTGCCATTTTAATAATCTGACACAAATTGAAAGTCCTGAGCTTGCTTGAGACCGAGGGGTGGTGTGCAAATGGCAGAAGTAGAGTCAGCTTCTTCTATAGGAGGGTAGTACTGCAGACATGAAGAATTTATTGAAAGTGCTAAAATAGTATTTGGAATGCTATAAGGCTGAAAATGTAGCTTTATACCATATATCACTGCTTGCAGCTAATAAAAGTGAGTAGGTTATTTTATAACACCTGAACAGTATTTTTAGTTGTAAAATCTCATCTCAAAGTGATCTTTAAGTTCAAAGTGAAACAGTTCCATGGGCTGACCCAGCCACTGGTACTTAATTAGCTTCTGGATGATTTTTCTTTTCTAATGTTCATTAGTAAAGTCATGCTGTTAGTATGCTTTGATTCTGCAAAAATAGCCATCAGGTGGCAAGCAAAGGGCAGATAATATTTGCTCAGAGTGGAAAATCTTTCACCCTTCTCAGAAAATGCTCCGAGTCATAGCGGCTTCATCTTCACAGTTCTGAAAACATCTGAAATTGTGTCTTCCTGTGTGGTTTGACATCTTCAGCCTCATTTTTCTTCTATATGGCATAGTTGATGTGTTGCTGGACGTGTTGGAGCAGATTGGACCTGTGTGGGGCCCACAGCACACAGCACCACTTTGAAAGAGAAGAGTTTCATGTCTCAGTTTCTCTCCTCCAAAACTATGAGAAGATTCAGCTCTGGAGGCCCTCAACAACATGAATCACAGGCACTGTCTGGAGTCTACAATTTGACTAAATAGTCCTTCTTTCAAACAAAAGCTACCATGGAAATTCTGTTGTTTAAAAGCTTAATAACTTATGTGGAAAAATCCATGTGTAATGTTGAGCAAATTACAAAAGCAAGTAAAATATGGGTTTGAATTGTGAAGATATTTCTATGGCCAAGCAGCAACACATTACTGTAATTTGGTCTGCAGTAAGGTTTGTTGTTTTTTTTTGCCTTACAAAAATATATCCATCTTCTGAATGTTTTGCCTGGGCTTTTCACTGCTGTGCTGGGAAGAAAGGGAAAAAAGGAGTGATAAGCTATCTCAACTTGGATAAGGGCAATTATTTATCTCTCAGACCAGGGCCAGGGCAAAGGCTAAAGCTCAGAACAAGTTACCCTGCAGTTACACAAGCACAAAGCAGAGGATTTGGTGCTCTCTCCCCCACGGATAAGCACAGTTTCTCTGATGTTTTGGACAGATTTTTGCAAGTGTGTAGAGTAAAAATAAATCGCATTTAATG